TTTAAAGTTATACAATTTGCAAACTATTATTAATATGCAGTACTTGAACCCACATCCATCTTGCAATAAAATTAACGCATAATTAAAAAAAAATAACATCATTATTACCACATATTATAATATAAGTTACTATGTTTAAACGTAATAATAAATATGATATACGCCAAACGTCAAAGCGAACAATACCCTAAGTCTAGTTGTTATTTCAATCTTTTAGTAAGATAATATTCCATATACATATTTGTAATTATTGATTTTTCGACTTCCGTAAATCACGATTCTTTAAATCCTATAATTTTGCAAAACTATAAAAGAATATGAATTTGTATCAAAGAGAGAGTTTTGATATAAATAAAAAAATTACTTACATTTATCTAATAAAGAACTCAAATTAACCCTAAATAAAGATAATTTAAAATATACCTGATACTAAGTAATGGGTTGACTAAATTCACAAAGTAGGCAATTAAGAGAAACTCGAAAGTTTCGAGAAAGCGATCAATGGAAAGCATTCCAGAATATTAAAGATAATCTTCGAATGATGCTTGATTATCTAATTCCAATATTTACACAATTAAATGATGACAAGTTTAGTTCTATAATTGAAGAAATAATTAACACTCGAAAAACAAATATATGTATTCAAAGAAAATTGCTTGATCTCCTAATTCTGATATTCTTTCAACTAAACGATGACGATTTAGTTTTAGAGTAAAAAAAATCCTTGAATCCTGGGAAATGAATACTTGTGTTCAGAGAAAACACATTGAAATGTTTCGACAAGTTTGTAGTTTACCTGATCAACAAATATTAGATACGTTAAGTCTTTTTAAAACTATGACCTATCCCTGAGAAAGTAATAAAGGAGAGATAATTTCTACATATCTACAAAAAAAAGCACATGAATTTGTTGATGCTAGTCTTTATAAACCTAATAATACTATTGGTTCATTAGAATTAAAAAATAAAAATTTAAATTATAAAATTCAAAGCTTAAAAAGAAATAAGTTTACCACTAATGCTCTACTTCGCTCATTTTCTATAAAAGTTGCAAGAGCAAAAAATTCAAAACAAAAACAAATCTCAAAAATTCGATCTGCTATTCGTAAAGCAAACAAAATTCGACTTGCCCAATTTCAACGCGTAGCAAACAAATTATTTAAAATTAATAATAAAGAATATAATGCTAAATTTGTTAAATTAGCTGCTGATATAAGTAATATAGATCAAACCTCTATATATGCAACAGTAGAATGCACTAAAATCATATATCAAATTTTGACCAGAGAGATGCCACAGCATTGGGTAACTCCATTAACTTTATCATGATGGAATAATGAAATAGCAGCTGCATCTTTTAATCAAAATCGTTCTAAAGAAGCATCTCGATTTTTCAGCTACGGTATTATGGCTAACGAAAGTACACAGGGAGAAATGAAAGTGTTAATTATTTGTTTTTCATATTGGAATGATGTTAAAAATAAACCAATAATTTCTGTAGCAAAATTAACTGATATACACAATGTAATGCCGAAACGGTTTCGAATATGGTATTCGAAACATGTAAACAAAAAGAAATTGATCCTCAAAAATATCATTTTTGGTTAACGGATAATACAGCCTATATGTCCTCTGAGAATAACAGTGTAGTCACTAAATTTAATTCATTAGCAATGTCCAAGTCATTTCGAATTCCTTGTGGATTACATGCAACCCATATCGCTCTAACGAATTTTGAAAATATAGCGTTTGGAAAATTGGATGCCATTAAAGGACTATCGTTAAAGGAATATCTATTTAATCTATTTAGCTTGGCTTTTCATCTTCATGATGGATATGATCTTTCTGATAAAGACAGCCTATTAAATCTAAAATCTGAAATTTTAAAGAGGCTTTATAAGACGTTATTTAATGTTGAATTAAGTAAATACCAACAACCTATTCGCCAAAGGTGGTATATAAGCTTAAAACCGCAAAGCAATATCTTGAGAGGTGCGAAATTCATATTTGTTTTGCTCAATTCTTTATTGAGCAACTCGAAAATGCAAAAAATGTTTCAAAATCCTACTTAAATAAATAGAAAATATTTCTTAAATGGCTTATGGATAAACAGCTTAATCTTCAAATACGGTGTCTTGTTAAGTTTGATCAAGAATTTTACAAACCTGTTTGCAATTTTCTAAATAGATATGATCCAACTCCACAAATCTACCAGCATAATAATATAAGCACTCTTCCACCAGGTCATCGCGCCCATGAAATGCCAGATAAAATAATATTGTTATTCAAGAGCTACAAAATTATCTAAAAAATATTTATACATTATTTGGAGATGAATTAGCTGATGCTGAGTGTGAGTTAAATGCAGTAGATTTTGAAATATTTTGTGAATCCTTACACAACGGAATCAAACATGCACTAAGCAGATTTGTTAAATGAATGGAGACCTGGATTCATTTGCCTTTAAGCATTTGTTGGTTAGGAGGAGAAAATGGACCAGACTTTGCTTGTGCCTTTTTAAAGGTATTCTTTAATAAAGATTCGTCAAAAATTTCTACTCCCAAAAAAATCTCCTATGTCAAACTTCTGAAAGAAGATTTATCTAATGGATGTTCAACTATGTTTGGACTCTTGGAAGCATTGTCACACCATGATTTTTTTGAAGAGTTCGAAAATTTTGCAAATTCTGACAATGCAGAATTAGCAAAATTTTCTCTTAATACACGAATTTATTAAATTTCATATATAGAGTATCGTGGTGCATCAGCAACAGTTAAAAGGACTGTTTAATCATTATGACATAAAAGTCCACCCAAACATGGATCCTCAATTACAAGAATCTCGCATCCAACTTTCTTGCTCAGATAGTAGGGTTCAAGATATTTCTCAAGAAATGTTACAAAATATCCGGCAAGAAGCAAAAAATTCTGAAATTAGTGAGAAATCAGAAAATAAAATTCCCAAAGAAGAAAACAT